TATGCGTAATTATAAATTGCCAAAGCGCAAAGTAGCCCTGCAGCAGCATTAGCAGTTTCACCATCCATACTCGTCAAGAGCGCGAACTGTACTGTGAAGCAGGGGCGAACATTTGCGAGTGCGGAAGTGTAGCAACAAATTTCGGGATTCGCACCGCGGTCCGCGCCGCGATTTCACGCGAGAGGGTATAACAAAAAAAAAACTGCTACTAGACAATGAAACGGTTAAACATGTCGTTTCTCTTTCACCGTGTCTTTAGCACACAACAAAATCAGATCGCAACCGACCTAATTTTTGAGCCGCCTTTCTGTATTGTCGTCTATCAAGTTTTCCTTCGGGCCAATTCCGTTTTGCGCTTTGCACGAAAGTCTATTAGTGCGCTAATATTGTCGATGTGTGCGACAACACTGTTAAAATATAAGAAAAATCTGCTTTTAATGTTCATTCACCACAGCTGGAAGATCTTTAACACTTAAAAGATTTCGTGAATATACAGGGTATACACGTTATGGTAGTCAAAACTGAAATGGGTAATAGGGGGGTCAAAACAAGTCAAAAACTTCATATGACCCATGATCCAAAAGTCAATAGATTTTTGTCTAAATGGCTTTATAGCTTACTTTAAGTACTTTATATCGACCACAATCACCATAACCTTACTAATTCTTATAATCCAATTTAAAACGTTTTTAAATCGGGTCATTAACAAATAAAAGTTAAGCCAAAATTTGTAGTCAGTAAGTAAATTTCATTAAATTAAATATTTAAAACACACATGACAACAGCGCGTCGGTCTTTCATCACTCTTATCGAACCGGCAATCGATCGCAAACGGTAACAGTGGTTAGTTATTGTTCGCGTACGTCGTCGTGTTTATTTACAATACAATAACAACTGAAGCATAATTTCGCGAAAAAAATGTTAATGTGGCTGAAATAATAGATGGACAACTTCGAGGACCTAGAGTAAGAAGAAACTGGATTCGTCGTAATGAAGCTTGTGTGGAAAGTGGAGGACGATATTTTGAACACCTTTAAATACAAAAAAGTGCAGTGTGGGTTTTAAAAAGAAAAACAATGTATGTATCAGAATTGTATTCCCTATTTATAAGTGGATTTTTTTAATACGTTCAATAAACTTTCATACACCAGGTGAAGCGCTGAGCCAGTTAGTGGTAAGTCCGTTTTTTTTAATTGTTTGCATTTTACGAGTACATGATCAAATAATGAAATAATACCTAAGAGACAAAAATAACAAACTCCATCTTTATTTACACTGCGTTCCGTCGTAATTTGCGTCTGGCAGTGCGGCATTGTCACATTTTATTTCACTTTAAAGACGCTTTTCTCTAAAAAATGCCGTTTTGACCCCCATGTTATATGAAACTTTTTGCTTCTTTTAACCCCCACTATCACTCATTTAAATAATGACTATCATAACGTTTACAACCTGTATACAACATCAGATATTTGTAACGACAACGGCGCCATAATAGCGTATCGATTTGCACGAAAAATACGAAACTAGCCGTAATATTCGTTCTAAAATAAACTTCTGTCGACCTCTTGAATCAAATATCGATTATCGCTTTTCAAACAGACATGCTGCGTTTACAATCAAGGATAAACCTGTCGAAAAAACTAGTCTGTTCTTCATATTTTTGTCTGTCGTTATTCAAACGACTCAACTTCGCATACTTTGGTAATTTCAGGAACTGGATTCTAATATAATAATGTTGTGTAATTTGAGTACGAAACGATCCGGATAGAATTTTCCGTGACTTCTAACCTCATATTGCAAAATTCTGCAAGAATTTTATACAATTTTCCCCAAGAAAAATCTTTAAATAATATGAAACTTTATATTCCCTTCATGAGCCGTCTTTTCCAATAAATGAAACTGAATATACTTAGGCTGTTGAATTCGAATAGGTTTGTCAAAAAAATCCTAAAATATCGAAGGAACGAAGTTGTGTAGAAAATAAGTAACATATTATAGTACTCACCGTAGGGATAATTTTTTGCATCTTACCCAGGTTTCGTCCAAACTATATTTCGGAATGGAGAAAACTCTAAATAATGATTAAATACGACTTTCTCTGTTGCCGCTGTTGCCGATTAGTAATGTTCCATGATCGTATATCGCATTGAAAATGCCGCATTATACTCATATAAGTATGACCAAAACTAAGTAAGAAAAAATAGAGAAACGCGGGATATTATTGGAAATATTCGAACGCGCGACGCTACCAATTCTGCCATGGCAAAATGCCACACGAAACCCCGTTTTTCCTTGCTCTAACTTGGACGCAGTTGCTTTGCAGATATAATATTATATATCGGGTGGCGCATCGAAAACGAAACAGACGCATTTATTGGCAGCTCAGTTTTTTTTTGAAAAACGCTCAGACCCGTCGATTTTGTTTTCGAGGGAGACACAAGTTTGGCAAAAAATCACGTTAACGCGTGCAGCCCCCTAAGCGAGGGTCACACCACCCCCTAAATCTCAAATGGAAAGGGGGGTCGAGTGATACCTTATTTTAAAGGTCTTTCAATTCCCTTTATAATGATATAAAATTAATGTACTTCAGTTCACTAGTTTTGAAGATTTATTGATTTAAAGCTTAAATAAAACTAATACATCATCATTAGAGACCCCACATAAAGAAATCCAAAGGTGATAAATCTGGCGATCTTGGGGGCCATTCAATGGCACCTCTTCTACCAATCCATCGATCTGGAAACGTCTGATCTAAATATTGTCGAACACGTAATGCGTAATGTGGTGGGGCATCATCCTATTGAAACATGAACCTATTCGCAATGTACCGCCGATCATTCTGATTTTCAATTATGGCTGTTAATTTAACATTTAATTTTGGTAGCTGCTGTGTATGAACCTTATGATAAATAAATTCTGGGATTAGAATCGGACCAATATCGAGTTATAACGAGTTTGATCAAATCAATCGCAAACTATGTACTAAATTCCTATTTAAAATAAGTACGAGATATTTCCTATCTTTCAAAATCGACGGCTCTGAGCGCTTTTCAAAAAAAAAAATTAGCTGCCAGTAAATGCGTCTGTTTTCGATGCGCCACCCTGTATATGCACCCACAAACTCTGGAAAGGGATTAGGAATGACCAAAGTAATAATAATCTATGTGTAACTAGGCATTAACATTTACATAGGCAATACGAAAAAAGATTGCTGGAAAAAATGAAATAGAAGTTCAAGCTGCCAGTATAGCACCTACTTTAGTAAACTGCCAAATTTCTAGTTAACTAAATAATAAAAAAATAACCAGTGCATCGGCAGATAGATAAAATCAAACAATAGGAAAATGCAACACAAAAGTGAATGGAAATAAAACTTTGGCATAAAACTATTTTTACTATCTACAGCTATATATTGACAGGCATATACTAGCCACACTTATACAAGCGACTGTTGCGTTGACTTACTGACAAATTGAACACGTTTCGGTTGGTTCGCTATCGTCTGGATGCCTCTCGGTTTCGTTTTAACTTTTGTTATTGGGATTTGCGTCCTATGAACTGGAAACAACATCTCCATAAACCTCCAATCACATTTAAAAAATGAACAGATACACTCATGCACACATTTCTTTTCTCATACATACGTATTATAACTATCACGATACTTCTTGTTTCATTCCCGTTTTGTTTCGTCCATGGATATTCCCAATTATTGCTGCCAAGAGTGTAAGCTATATATTTTTTTTAAATATAGATATACAGTTTAGCAAATAGAATAATGTATTAACAATTATTATACCCACAATAACTGAATATGTTTTTTAAAGTTCAGAATTTTATTTTAGGCTTTTTGTATTAATTATTACTAGAACATGCTTCATATATAGAGTGTTTCCCTAATGATATGCGAATATTTAAGGGTGTGAATCTACATTAAAAGTTAATGTCAGTTTGCTTTATAAACTGTGGTCCAGAAATGTTTCCCACTGTTTAGGCTAAAAATTATTTTTGCATTGAAAAACATGCGACTTTTTCAACTTTCACTACGTACTAAATAGCAGTGAAAAATCTGAAGCGGTTCTGAAAATATTAGTTAATTTCCATTTTTTTTTTCATAAAACTTCAACACCCCGAGGAGTTTTTGTAAGGAAACATTTTTGGACCATAGTTTACGAAGCAAACTAACATTAATTTTTCATGTAGGTGCACACCCTTAAATATTCGCATATCATTAAGGAACACCCTGTATATGAATATCATTCAGCACGATATACAGGGTGACTTCGAAGTTGAGTCATTTATTTTAACAGTGAGTAGATCTGATCAAAATAAATGTTTTTTTCCTTTACCATTTTTCTGGTAAAATTAAAGTAACAAAGTTATAGCCCTTTGGAAGTTTGAGTACCGCCCTGTCTCAATAATAATATTATGTGCTCGTGTTTGGCGACAACGGATATAATTCGCCTTATCGGTTCATCGCATCGGAAACAAAAAAGCGAAAGAATTTGGAACGATGTTTTTACAATTATTTCATTCAGTTGTATACAGTCAGTGTCAGTCGGTAGTGGATAGTGGTGTCTGTTGCGTGGCTCAAACGAAATAAAAAATGGCACATGTTTATGCGGATCGGTTTCCCAATCGAGTGCAACCAACCCCTCGTGCCTTTGTTAATGTAGTACAACGGGTTCGTGAATCATTTGACTTAAGACCTCACATATGGACGGCATGCCGGTGCTCCAAGACCTCACGATCAAATACAGGTCCGCACTGAAATACTTGTCGGGAGGATACTTTATAAAACAAGGTAAATTTTTTTTTTTATTTTTTTTTTTATTTTTACACACATATTTTGGTTTATCCTCCTTCTACAATCATTATCTGAAAATTAATGACTCAACTTCAAAGTATAAACAACTGGAATCAAGGAATTGTTCTACAGCGTACGTATATTTATTTGGTTTGAACAGCCAGCAGCGGGGTAATTTTGAGTTGTCGCTTTGATGTTGGCTAGTGACGTTCTTGTTGGCGGTGGCCGGGGTTCGCATGACTCATCGTATCGTATCCGTAAAGGCTGTTCGTGCGGCGCCGCGACGCCTGGAGACGCCCGACGACGCCTGGAATATTATTCCCGATTCCCGCCGCCACCGCCGCCGTCGTCTCGACTGGACACCTACCGAGACGATGACGATAGCCTGTCGATCCGTCTGGCAATGTCGAAATGTTAACTCATTCAGCGGTAGTGCGCCAAAGATCTGCAACTTTTAACGATTTCATTTTAGTTATGTTCCGGTTCCATTGACTGCTATCAAAAGCTTATTGATCGCTCATTTTCAAAAGTAATATAATGCGCACCTAAGCGGAAAAGTAGAATAGCCGGCGATATTGCCAGTATAACCAACTAGGCTATGCTACAACATATAGCAATATTTAACGTGTATGCGTACCGTATAGGAGCACTTGATTGATTTTTCCGACATGTTTTATTACACTATTGTCTCTTTCCCTAGAAAATATTCAATATTGACGTTCGATCCGCGCGGCTTACTATGTTTCTATATGCAAAAATTAAAACACATCCCTCGTAGCTGCAGCTTTTGGTAACATGATGAAACGTACAAAAATTTGATATTGTAATGATCGTGCGTTAATACCGGAAGATTCTAAGACTTCACTTCCCCCTTTTAGAGGATTTTCTTACCCGAGAAACATTAATCTATCGAATATTTAGTTACAGTTGAACGATAATCTTCAAAGTCTAGACGATGCTATATTTGTGGTTTCACGTAGTGTTAGCAAAAGAAGCGTTTCCTAAAAGTAAAGATGAAGAAATCAGGATAAATGGAACAAGATTTAAACTGATTAAATCATTCTCGGAGTTAATTATCGATTACAAGTTATAAGACACACGTACAAAAGAAAAACGTTCAAAATAGCTGGCAATATCGTTGCTGTTGTGTGTAAATATCCCATAAAAGCAAATAATATAGAAAGTGTTATTCTAACTGGAATTACACGTAATTTGTTATAATTTATAATATCGTTGTCGAACATATCTCAAAGAGTATAATTCTGCACGATTTTTATTTACTTCTGGTTGCAGACAAAGCTCCCATATCCATTTTAACATTAGTATGAGCAAAATGTAGCAGAGCGGCGGTGCACTGTTCGGCGCGTTACAAAATGAAACTTTCCAAAGCGCTGCAAGGAAATGCATTTGTAACCGGCGCTGGCGGCGGGAAACTTGTCGGACGAAATTGCCGGCCGCCTTCTGCTCGGAGGCTTTCTTACCACTCCGAACGAAGAAAGAGACTAAACCAAAACATTAATCATCGCGTGATTATTGCGTGAGCAGTATACTTTATCTGAAGTCACTTGAAACACTGTGAAATACCGGGTGCGTTTTATATATCTATATTTAACACGCTCTGTTGCTGCAAAAATCGCAAAATTTCGCAGCAAATATCCCCCGTATAAGATCAAAGGCAGTTTCACCGGTCCACGTGGAGTAAAGCACGCCTATGCGTGGACATAGCCAATGAGAAAGCGTGTATTTCAGAGCTCCGAACAAGTGCAGGTGGCTACTGAAAATTGAAACAGTTTAGCCAGTGCCGTGTAGCGGTGAATAAACGTGTTTTCTTTAGTATGTCCGTGTTTTTTCATAGATTTTATTAGTTTGTGTTTTTTTGACTTTTGAATACTCAGTTTACTTGTTGATTTAATTGTTGTGTTGATTGTTCTTGTGTGTCCTAAATATGGCTCTTTGGAGACCTTGGGAAAATGCTCCAAGCCACGAGGAGATGGTTGATGAACCTGTGCAGGCAGAATTCTTTCATAAAGATTTAGAGGAACAGACCCAAAGAGTAATCCTAAATATGTATGATTGTCTGAAAAACGAAAATCCAGAATCCTCGCAAAATCAAATTGCAAACAGAATTTGTATCCTGACAAAAATCAGTCGGTCTACCATTTATCGGGTTATAAAAAGGGGAGATGTAGTCAACCATTCCTTCCACAGAAAGCGCATAGGGCAAAAATTAAAAAGAATAGACGTGGGTTTTCAGGAAGATATTCGTCGTATAATATACGGATTTTATAAAGAAAATTTGGTGCCCACGTTGGAAATGATACGGGATAAATTAAAAGATTATCCTGAAGATTTTTATAATTACAAATGCTTAGACTCACTGCACTGTATTGTAAAACTGTGTGGTTTTCAATACAAAAAATTTGATAAAAGAATGGTGATTATGGAGTCGTCTCGAATCGTTGAATTGCGCCAAGAATTTTTGCACAAAGTTAAAATCTATAGAGAGCAGAAAAGAAATCTGATTTACCTGGATGAAACGTGGTATGATACCCATGATGTTGTGCAGTACGGCTGGGTTGACGACAGCAACAAGTGCATTTTAAATGCACCATGCAACCGTGGAAGACGAATCATTATTCTCCATGCTGGCAATGAAAATGGATTTATACCTAATGCCTTGCTGTTATCTGCCAAAAATATCAAAGAATCATGTGCCGACTATCATGAGGACATGACCTCCGACTTATTTGAAAAGTGGATAGAGCAGCAGTTAATACCATACATTTCCCCAAATTCAGTGATTATTATGGACACTAGCGCAGTTGCTGGCACGCTAACGCTATGCAAAATATTGCACGTTGATGTCTTTATTTTAAACCTCACGTAGCGCAGTTGTTGGTATGCTAATGCAATGCTAGCGATAACTTTATCCCTATCTCTAATCATTTTTTATCCTTTGGCATCTTTGATCTGGTATCTGGTATCTGGTATCAGGTATCTGGTATTTGGTATCTGGTGTCTGGTGTCTGGTATCTGGTATCTGGTATCCGGTATCTGGTATCTGATGTCTGGTATCTGGTGTCTGGTATCTGGTATCTGGTGTCTGGTATCTGGTATTTGGTATCTGTTATCTCTTTATCTGGTATCAGGTATCTGGTATCAGGTATCTGGTGTCTGGTATCTGGTATCCGGTGTCTGGTGTCTGGTATCTGGTGTCTGATGTCTGGTATCTGGTATCTGGTGTCTGGTATCTGGTGTCTGGTATCCGGTGTCTGGTATCTGGTATCTGATGTCTGGTATCTGGTATCTGGTGTCTGGTGTCTGGTATCTGGAATCTGGTATCTGTTATCTCTTTATCTGGTATCTGGTGTCTGGTATCTGATATCTGGTGTCTGGTATCTGGTATCTGGTATCTGTTATCTCTTTATCTGGTATCTGGTATCAGGTATCTGGTATCAGGTATCTGGTGTCTGGTATCTGGTATTTGGTATCTGGTATCTGGTGTCTGGTATCTGGTATCTGGTATCCGGTGTCTGATGTCTGGTATCTGGTATCTGGTGTCTGGTATCTGGTGTCTGGTATCTGGTATCTGGTGTCTGGTGTCTGGTATCTGGTATCTGGAATCTGGTATCTGTTATCTCTTTATCTGGTATCTGGTGTCTGGTATCTGATATCTGGTGTCTGGTATCTGGTATCTGGTGTGTGGTATCTGGTATCTGGTGTCTGGGATCTGGTGTCTGGTGTCTGTTGTCTGGTGTCTGGTATCTGGTGTCTGGTGTCTGATGTCTGGTGTTTGGTATCTGGTATCTGGTATCTGGTATCTGGTGTCTGGTATCAGGTATCTGGTATCTGGTATCTGGTATCTGGTGTCTGGTATCTGGTATCTGGTATCTGGTGTCTGGTATCTGGTGTCTGGTATCTAGTGTCTGGTATCTGGTATCAGGTATCAGGTATCTGGTATCTGGTATCTGGTACTTGGTATTTGGTATCTGATATCTGGTGTCTGGTATCCGGTGTCTGGTTTCTGGTATCTGGTATCTGGTATCTGGTGTCTGGTATCTGGTGTCTGGTATCTGGTATCTGGTATCTCGTATGTGGTGTCTGGTATCTGGTGTCTGGTATCTGGTATTTGGTATTTGGTATCTGTTATCTCTTTATCTGGTATCTGGTATCTCGTTTCTGGTATCTGCTATCTGGTGTCTGGTATCTGGTATCTGGTATCTGGTATGTGGATCTGGTATCTGGTGTCTAGTATCTGGTATCTGATATCTGGTGTCTGGTGTCTGGTATCTGGTATCTGGTGTCTGGTATCTGGTGTCTGGTGTGTGGTATCTGGTATCTGGTATTTGGTATTTGGTATCTGTTATCTTTTTATCTGGTATCTGGTGTCTGGTATCTGGTATCTCGTTTCTGGTATCTGCTATCTGGTATCTGGTGTCTGGTATCTGGTATCTGGTGTCTGGTATCTAGTATCTGCTATCTGGTATCTGCTATCTGGTATCTGGTGTCTGGTATCTGGTATCTGGTATCTGGTATGTGGATCTGGTATCTGGTTTCTGGTATCTTGTATCCGGTGTCTAGTATCTGGTATCTAGTATCTGGTATGTGGATCTGGTATCTGGTGTCTGGTATCTGGTGTCTGGTATCTGGTATCCGGTGTCTGGTGTCTGGTATCAGGTGTCTGGTATCTGGTATCTGGTTTCTGGTATCTGGTATCTGGTACCAGTCATCTTTTATAAGTTTTCATTTTTCGTTTTCCGTTTTCCGTTGTCCGTTTTCCGTTTTTCGTTTTTGGTTTTTCGTTTTTCATTTTTCATTTTTCGTTTTTCATTTTTCATTCTTCATATTTCATTTTTCATTTTGCATTTTTCATTATTCATTCATTTTTCATTTTTCAATGTCGCATGTGTCACCATTAATAGCACACAATGGCATTATAAAATCTTCGATATAGCATTAATGCCCTCTATAAAATTGTATGACAAACTCAGATTTATGTGAGGAGCCGGCAACGTCGCATGTGTCACCATAAATAACACACAATGGCATTATAAAATCTTCGATATAGCATTAATGCCCTCTATAAAATTTTATGACAAACTCAGATTTATGTGAGGAGCCGGCAACGTCGCATGTGTCACCATCAATAGCACACAATGGCCTTATAAAATCTTCGATATAGCATTAATGCCCTCTATAAAATTGTATGACAAACTCAGATTTATGTGAGGAGCCGGCAACGTCGCATGTGTCACCATAAATAACACACAATGGCATTATAAAATGTTCGATATAGCATTAATGCCCTCTATAAAATTGTATGACAAACTCCGATTTATGTGAGGATCCGGCAACGTCGCATGTCTAGCTACCGCACTTACAAAAAATGGCGCTTGACACTTGATATATGTGAACCGT